AGCAATGCCCCAATTTGATTGAATAATGTGACCAATTTATTGGATTACCCTGAGAATGCTTTACGTCACTTGAACGACGAAACGACCTACAAGTGCATTGACACCGATCCAACCTCACAGCTGACATACAAATAAACCGAACATTGAAACTACTTCGAGAAAATATGAAGCAAATCACGAGGGAGGCGGGCGAACGAATGAGAGCCTGTGACTCGAGCATCGCGCAGTTCTATGGACTCCCAAAGGTACACAAAGATGATGAACCGTTACGACCGATCGTGTCACTACAAGGAACACCCACCTACAATTTGGCGAAAGAAATGTGCAGACGCCTCAAAAATCTGGCCTGTGAATCACAATATTCCATTACTAATTCCCAGCAATTTCTACAAAAGCTCAAAGACCTGTGAATCGATGGTGTTGAAACATTGATATCTTTTTCTCCTTGACTTGCCGAACGTCCTCCTCGTGATGCTTACTGGGTGTTTCGGGATTATCCTGTTCCAGCGAATGGTTCGGCGGCAGTGTTCCTGGACGTGGTGGGTTTTCGCCTGGCAATCCTTCTCCCTATAAATAGCCACATATGTCCGTTCAAAAATACTGTGACTTGGCGGATGTGACTCGCGACTATATAAATTCACTGCCCCTTGTCTCTAGCTGAGTGGCATTGTAATTCACGGGCGCGTTTGGCCCCTGCTCCTATGCGGCTCTTTAGGCGTATGAACAACTCATTTTGTCACCGGCTCCCAACGTGTTGCGATACCCTCATATCGCCCTGCTGCCTTGTAGGTTGGATCCTTGATCGAAGGCTCGGGGTGGGTCCCCCCTAAGACAACCCACTAATTCGGCCTGGGCAACCGGGTAATATCTCGCCCACTGACGAACCATGGACTTACAACCACAACCATTCATCCGTTCTCTTGCTGCTACGATGCTATTCACTCATGTTACTGCGTCAACTTCACAAGCACACGCCACCATTTTACCTATCCTTCCCTTGTACCACTTACACTGGCTGGCTAGCCGAACAACCTCCTCGTGGTGCCAGCTGGATGGTTCGGGTTTAACCCGTTCCAGATAATAGTTCGGCGGCAGTGTTCCAGGACGTGGTGGGTTTTCGCCTGACAAGCGTTCTCCCTATAAAAGACCACAAAGGTCTGCTTAACAACACTGTGACGTGGCGGTCGTGGCTCGCCACAAAATAAAGTCATTGCCCCGTGGATATCTGGATAATCCTTTCCAACCCACGGACACCAATCTTCCACTCGCACATTGCTGACGATAGTAAACATTCAAGAATGGAACAGCACATTTTCGAGCGCAACCTACACAGCTACATAAACGCACACACAATTACATACTTACATACCCCCTGCACAAACAAGCACTGTTATGGCAAACATATCGGATTTTTGCACATTCTTGATCACGTATTGTTTTGTCAAAATGATCATGCCTGTAAAGGCGTGCCTCGCCTTGTAGAGAATAAAAGCTTTATTTATTTCTACCTGATTCCTCTATGGCGATCAACCCCACCTACACTGATGAACCTGTTCTCGTGACATCTGCCAACTCAAACACACAGTACTCAACGGAGAGCTGCCGGTCCCAAAATCTTTCATCTCCGCTCCTGCAACCCGGAACGCAGTTCAAAATTGTAGCCTTCAACCTACGCACATTACTGCAGATCGGTCAGCAAGCTGGACTTGCACGCATGCTAGAGACCTTTGGAATTGATATCTGCTACCTGACTGAAACACGATTGCAGGACTCTAACTCGGTCTACCAGGTGGTGTCACCGTTCCACCCACGCACCCGCTTCCACCTACGCCTTTCTGGTGACGCCGAATCTGCCGCATTTTGGCAAGCTAGCGTTGGAATCGCCCTCAGTGCTAGAGTCGAGACTGCTTTCATTGACTGGATTCCGATCAATAGCCGCCTTTGTGCGATGAGGCTCCATGGCTCTTGTAAAGTTTGCACACTTCGAGTCGAAAAGCGTGCTCTCTTCGTGATCTCTGCCTACGCGCCCACTGACTGTAGCTCGGACAACGTCAAAGACCAGTTCTACCAGAACCTTCATGAGCTGCTCCTAAGGGCTTCTAAAACAGACATCAATGCTTTGGCAGGTGACTTCAACGCGCGTGTCGGTCGTCTGCTGCAAGGCGAGCGCCACCTCGGCGGACCGCATGCATATGATGATGTTCGCTCAGACAATGGAGAGAGACTGCTCAGTCTGTGTGCAGATCATCAATCATTCCTCTCCAGCACCAGCTTTCGTCATCCTGGACGCCAGTACGCCACTTGGCGCCCCCCATCATCAACCCAGTGGTGGTCACAGATTGACCACATAGCTATGTCGTGGGTGGCGCGGCAACATACGCAACTGCCGATCATTTTGGTCAATATGCGTCGATAATGATCATGCACTGATTTGTGTGACCGTTTGCATGCGTTTCGATGGTTCGCCTAGGTCAAAACACACCCGACTGAACACCTACAAGTTGGAGGACCCAATGATGAAGAAAGAGTAGCAACAAAGACTTCGTGAAAATCTCGCTCTCTCTCACACTCTGGATGTTGATCAACACTGGTCAAGTCTACAACAAGCCTTGTTATCGACCGGTTTGTCAAGCTGTGGCCTCGCTCGCTCCACTCCCAAAAGCTGGATCTCAGGAAGATCCTCGGAATTGCTGGATCGTCGACGGGTGGTGCCTGCTGGTGCAGAGTAGAACGAACACCGCCGGTCTGTTACGCAACAGCTGAAAGCAAGCCTTCGCTCTGATCGTGAATCTTAGTGGTCAAAACAAGCTGATGAGATGGAAGCCGCTACATCAGCTGGAAACTTACATCGTCTATTTTACATCATCAGGGCCACTGGTTGCAATTTCCACGTTATCAGGCATACGAGTTGCGAATCAGACGGCACGAAGATCACCAACCTTCACAGGCGATTGCGTTGCTGGGCATAGCATTTCGTCTGGATGAACATTGGTCTACCTCTCTTCAAACTATTGGACAACAACTAACAGAACAACTTGACGCTGTAATGGAACGTCGGGCAACAAACGCTAGGACAAAGAAGCATACTGCACTTCTCGATAAGTTATC